AACGCTTGGTGGGAGGAGGGGGAGAGGGCTTGGTGGGTTGAGGGGGGGAGGGCTGGGTGGGTGGAGGTGGAGAAGAGTCCAATGGAGTGGGTGGTGGTGGTGGTGGAAATGGTGGTGGTGTGGTATGAGGAGATGGAGCGTAAGCATTAGGGGAGGGAGCTGGGGCGGGCAAGGGCCCTGCCCCCTGGGGAGGGAGGAGGTGTGCCCTGAGGGAGAGGGAGCTGGACTGGGTGGGGTTGTGCTTGGAGGGGGAGGGAGTGAGACTGGGGTGGGGGCGTGCTTGAAGGGAGGGAGTGGCGCTTGGTGAGGGTGTGCTTGACGGGGAGGGAGTGGCGCTTGGTGAGGGTGTGCTTGACGGGGAGGGAGTGGCGCTTGGTGAGGGTGTGCTTGACGGGGAGGGAGCGGCGCTGGGTGAGGGTGTGCTTGAGGGGGAGGGAGTGAGACTGGGGGGGGGCGTGCTTGAAGGGGAGGGAGTGGCGCTTGGTGAGGGGGTGCTCGACGGGGAGGGAGTGAGACTGGGGGGGGGCGTGCTTGAAGGGGAGGGAGTGGCGCTTGGTGAGGGGGTGCTCGACGGGGAGGGAGTGAGACTGGGGGGGGGCGTGCTTGAAGGGGAGGGAGTGGCGCTTGGTGAGGGGGTGCTCGACGGGGAGGGAGTGAGACTGGGGGGGGGCGTGCTTGAAGGGGAGGGAGTGGCGCTTGGTGAGGGGGTGCTCGACGGGGAGGGAGTGAGACTGGGGGGGGGCGTGCTTGAAGGGGAGGGAGTGGCGCTTGGTGAGGGGGTGCTCGACGGGGAGGGAGTGAGACTGGGGGGGGGCGTGGCTGAGGGTGAGGGAGCTGGACTCGGCGGGAACAAGGGTGCCGGAGCGGGCCAGGGAGGTGAGATTGAAGGTGGGGGTGAATGTGGGGGTGAGGGAGGTGGTGGTGAAGGTGGAGGTGAAAGAGGTGGGGATGAAGGTGGAGGTGGTGAAGGTGGGGTGAATGTGGGGTGAGGGAGGTGGTGGTGAAGGTGGTGGTGGTGAAGGTGGGGCGAGGGAGGTGGGGAAGAAGGTGGCGGTGAGGGAGGTGGTGGTGAAGGTGGTGGTGAAGGTGGGGGCGAGGGAGGTGGGGGAAAA